CGGCCCTACAAGCCTCGCTGCAGGATGCGCAGGTACCGGCCCCTTGCACGGCGCCTCCCTGTCTCCTGCGCCCCTGCCCCGCGCTGCGCTCCCCTCCCCTGCGCCCCTGCCCCGCGCTGCTCTCCCCTCCCCTGCGCCCCTGCCCCGCGCTGCTCTTCCCTCCCCTGCGCCCCTGCCCCGCGCGACGCTCCCCTTCCCAGCGCCCCTGCTCAGCTCCATGCGCCGCCCTGTTCCGCGTTGCGCTCCCCTCGTCTGGACCCTTTCCCAGCCTTGCGCCGCGCTCCTCTCCGCCCACATCCAGCCCTGCGCTCCCTGTTCTGTATCTCCCGGAGCAGCGCTGCTGCGCTCCCCTCCTGCCCTGCGCAGTGTTCTGATCTCCCCGCGCCCCGCGTCCCGGAGCTCCCCTCCCCGCAAGATGCCCGGAATGGTGTGCCCGGTGTGGCGCATCGCACCGCGAAGGGTGCGGCATTCTTCCCCTCCGACCTCCTCCCCCCCCCCCCCCCCCCCCACACATCTTCTCTGTGCTGGACGCGATGTGTTATTCGCCCCCATCACTCCGCTTCTCTGTGCTGGGTGGACAGGGCGTGGCACCCAGGCACAACAGGGGGGGGGGTCTCTGTCTCGCACCTCCGCCCCCTTTCTGTGTGCAAATGTGGTGGGTCCATCGTACGCCAGCCCCCAATTTTTATCCATCCATAGGCTGGGCCGATGGTGGGTGTTCCTTACACTCCTCTCCTCTCCTCTCCTCTCGCCGATGCTGAATGGAGAGATCCCGCATCCAAAGCGTCTCCGCCCGAGCTCACTGGCAGCTTGGCTGTGCTCAGGCAGACATTTGGCTGGCTCCTGGCCTCAGAGCCCCAGGCTGCAAAGGCTTCGTGTGCTGGCTCGTCCCCTCTTCTCCTCCTTCATACTGAACGGCCAAGGGGGTATTTCCATAGGCTGCTTTTCTGACCCCAGAGCGTTGGGCAGGTTGGCTGGAGCCCCTCACCTCCATGGCCTTGAGATCTGGTCTCTGAGCCAGTTCTGTGACCCCTCCGCAAACTGCATTGATGACACCCTTATCAAAGCCGGCTGAGACTGAGGCCTCACTGGTACGGTAGGTACCGCGTGCCCGGCGTCCCTACCAGGGCAAGCACAGCGCTCACAATGCCAACCTCTTGTGCCCACGCATGTGCTAGTACAAAGGAAAAATGGAAGCTTAGAAAAGAAGGAAAGTCCCGGCTTGGCTTCATTCACCTGGCTAGGTTTCCAGTGAAGTGGTGGGACTATTTCTTTCCATGCGGGGAGGAAAACAATCAGCTTCTTAGTGCAAAAAGTAGCTAGAACAAGTAAATTGGTCGGCAGTGCATGAGAACAGCCGGTACCGCAATGAGCTTGTGCTGTGCCGGTTGATGGGCAGCTCCGGGACCATTCGTCATTTGTCAGGCAGGCTTCACTGATGTCCACGGTTGCAGGGCGTTGTCCGACAAATGTTAAAGTGCCTGGGAAGGTCTGAAAATACCCAATCCACAAGGACAAGCACAAAGCAGGTTAGGGAAGGGACTTCACTGGTGCAGCTGCATTATTGATGGAGCAGAGGACTCTCCTGGGCTTTGGAATCAATAGCTGGTGCTGAGGAATTGTAATGCAGCCTTGAGTCTCCAGCTAGAGTCCTCAAAATGTAGCTGGAAGGAAGCAGGGGAGTCACCTGGCCCAGAGGTCAAGGCAGAACCAAGGGGGTGGGCAGACTTGTTCAGGGTGGAAATTGTATGGCAGGCCAGGGATGTTCACAAACTTGGGTATTGGGATGCAGGGGGTGGGGGTTCCAGCTGGGGTGCGGGCTCTGGGGTCAGGCTGGGGAGGAGTGGAGAGGAGGCAGGGGGGTGCTTCAGGCTGGGATGGGGAGGTTCAGAAGGCAGCAGGAGGATCAGGGCTGAGGCAGAGAGAAGGGGTGCTGGGGGAGGGGTTCAGGGGTGCAGGCTTCAAGCAGCACTTACCTCCAGCAGCTCCCAGACACATGTCCTCATTCCAGCTCCCATGCAGAGGTGCAGCCAGGCAGTTCTGTGCACTGCAGTTGCCATCCCCACAGCTCCCATTGGCTGCAGTTTCTAGCCAATGGGAGCTGCAGAGCCCGTGCTTGGGGTGGGAATAGCATGCAGAGCCCCCTAGGTGCCCCTGTTTCTGGGAGCCATGAGTCCTTAAAGCCAGAGATGGGGCTTCCACAACCTCCTCCGAATACTATTCCAGGGCTTAACTACTCTTACAGTTAGAAAGCTTTTCCGAACTTTTGTATTTACAGCACCTAGCACATTGGGACACATCCTCTTCATAACAGCTCTTAACATATTTGAAGATTATCAGATTTCCCCTTCAGTCGTCTTTTCTCAAGACTAAGCCTGGCCATTTTTTAAACTTGGCTCAGATTTTCTAAACTTATGATCCTATTGTTGCTGTCCTCTGGGCAGTCTCCAATTGACGCACATCTTTCCTAATGTCAAATTCTAGGTGCCAAACACAGCACTCCTGAGGTTCACTGGGCTCACTGGAACAAGACAGTTACCAGTGTCTTACATGCGATGCTCCAGTTAACGCATCCCAGAATTATATTAGTCTCTTTTGCAGCTGCATCATGCCACTGACTCCTGGTCAATTTGTGATCCACTACAAACCCTAGGCCATGTTCAGCAGTACTGCCACCACCCAGTTATTCCCCTTACTTCCCTTTGCAGTGGATTTATTTCCTTCCTAAGAATAGTTCTTTACATTTTTCTTTATAGAATTTCATCTTGTTGATTTCAGACCAATTCATGGTCATTTTGAATTCTCATCCTGTCCTCCAAAGTGCTTACAACCCCTCCCAGCTGGGTGTCATCTGAACATTTTATAAGCACATTCCCCATTTCATTATGCAAGTCATTAATAAAAATATTAATGCCAGACTCATGACTGGCCTTGTGGACCCGGTTTGACAGTGACCCATTGATAAATATTCTTTGAGTAGGGTCTTACAACAAGTTGTGCACCCACCTTCTAGTAATTTCATCTAGACTCTATTTCCCTAGTTTGTGTATGAGAATGTCAGATGGGACTGTCAAAAGCCTTAGAAAAATCAAGATCTATCACATTTACTCCTTTCCCCCACCTGCTAAGCCAGTAACCTAGAGAAGGAAACTATGTTGTCTAACATGATTTGTTCTTGACAAATCTATGCTGGCTGGTCTTTACAACCCTATTATCCTCTAGATGCTCACAAATTGGTAGTTTAAGGATTTGTTCTGGCATCTTTCCCAGTATTAGTTAGGCTCACTGGTCTATAATTCCCAGAGTGTTCTTTATTGCTCTTCTTAACAACAGGTGCTGTGTTTGCCCTATTCCCATTCTTGGGCCTCACCCATCCACCATGGGTTTTCCCTGAGATGTTGCGAGAAAAAATTCAGATGACCAAAGCTTTGGCTAATGAAGATTGGCCTTATGGCTGACTCTCGAGATTGGGCTTTGAGATGAGGTCTGCTACAAATTTCTTGTGTGACTGTGGCAAATTGCTGAGCCTGCCCCAGTTTCCTGTCTGTAAATCTCAGGATGGTACTCTCCCATTCTTTGTCTAGATCATTAACTGTTAGGCATAGGGATTATTTCAGTCCTTGTATGTACAGCACCTAGCACACCGGAACACATAGGTATAATTGTGATTATACTACATATAGACTTTAGAGGGGCAGAGCAAGGGGGGTATGGCTATGAGTGTAACAGGGGAATTTGACTGCTTATGGTGACAGTAATGAATTTTGCACGGTGTTGTCAGATTTCAGAGGGGTAGCCACATTAGCCTGTTTCAGCAAAAACAACGAGAAAACCTCTGCAGCAGCCCACACAAGCTTCTGCTCTAATAAATGTGTTAGTCTTTAAGGTGCCACAGGACTCCTTGTCGTATTGTCAGAGTTAAACCTAGAACTCAGAATCATCTGCTTTGCTCCCGCTTGCTGGCTTTGTCCGCTTGTTCCCTGACAGTGGCTGACAGCCCCTCGCTGATGGTGTGACTTGCAGCCATGGACATGTTTTAATGCTTTGCTAGGTCAGAAGCAGGCTGCAGGAACAAGCCAGCATCACGAGACCCCTTCAGCCTGGGAGTTGCATCATCTTCCACTAAGGCTGGATTCAGTGGTTCTTAACGCGTTTCAATCCACAGACCAAGAGGCCAATCAAAAAATTTTCGTGGACCACCTCCTTTTTGAGACATGATAAAAGACATTTTTCATTTTGAGACAATGAACATTTGGTTTGAAATTTATTTCTTAACAGAGTTTTGGATTCTCTTCTCACTGACAAGCTTTTCAATGTTTGGAGCGGTACATTCTAATGCACAACGAATATCACTTTCCACTGCAAACCGATTCTTCTGTTTGGCCTTAACATGCAACAAACACGAAAATCCAGTCTCACGCATATAAGCTGAAGCAAATAGCAAAAGAAATCGGACTGCGTGTGCTGACAGATTTGGGTAACTCCCGGTCATGCTGACCCCAAATTTGTCTGGTAGTCACGCCGTGTGACTTTGGACAATGTTCCTGTGGACCACTGAAAAAGTCACCATGGTCACTGGTGGTCCATGGACCACCAGTTGAGAACCACGGAGCTATGACAGAGGCGTGGCACGGAAGTCACAGAAATCACAGAAGCTGCGACTTCCATTGACCCTCCTGACATTTTCTACCCCGGGGCTGGAGCTGACAGCTGGCCCCCCACCCCCACTCCTAGCCCCACCCTGGTGGAGGGGAATCCTGCAGCTCCCCAGCCATGGTGGGCAGCAGAGGGACCCTGTAGCCCCCAGCTACAGTGGGGGGATCCCCCAGATCTCCCAGCTGTAGGAGGCCAAAGGAACCCTACAGCAGCCCCTCCCCTGGAGACAGCAGAGGACCTCAGATTTCCCACTCACCATAGCAGCGGGGGACCCTGAAACCCAGCATCAGAGGGTGCCGAGCCAAGCCCACTTCCCCTTTTTGCCTGGGATATTTTTAGTGAAAATCTGAGACCCATCACCGGCTCCTGTGAATTTTTATTTATTGCCCGTGGCCTGTCCATGCCTTTTACTCAAAATACCCCTGACAAAATCGTAGCTGTAACTCTGACTGCAGGCAGAGCTGTACAGAATTTGGCAGAAACACTGGGCACTTTAAGTGAGTCCCTTCACTCTGGGATGGAGCTATGGCACCAATACAGAATCACCTAGGACTGCCGGGTGGAGGATGCAGAAGGACGTTCAATTAAGCTATTTTGCTCACCAGTCCTGCACCTCTCTGTGGCATGTCTAAAAATAATGCTGGACTTGTCAGTCTCTGCTTCTCTGATGCATTCCTTTGAGCCCAGGTTAACGGCCATGTGAAACCTAGTAATTGCTGGGATACTGACGTTTAACATCCCCATCCATCCATCCATCCATCCATCCACATACCCCTGTCTGTCTGTCTGTCTCTCTCTCTCCATACACATACATCCCTCTTTTTCTCTACGCACAAATACACCTATGAAGAATGTCTGTCTAATGCTGCTGTCTATTTATATCCATCCACCAATGGTCTTTTTGCCTGTCTGATCTGTCTTTCTGCCACATATTTACTTGCCATGATTATATAGGCACAGAACTGGGGCAGGCGGTCAGCTGGTATAAACTCACATAGCTCCATTGGATTTGGTGGGGCTCGACAGATTTACCCCGGCTAAGAGTCTGGTCCCCTATCATTTGTATTTTAAAGTTCTGCCGTAGCATGCCTGTGGAGGTGGGGGCCAGCGATGTTCCAGGTAGGGGACATTCTGCCATGCACTGGTGGGTGCCCACTCCCTGTCCATCAGTCCAGTTCGTTAGGACTTATTCCTGCTCCGAGTATCTGAATCATTTGGCCAGCTGCGGGGGGCAAGTGACTTCTCCCCCTGCCTCCAGGCCATCCCAGGACAGATGAGCTCCAGGGCCTTTCATGCCTGGGGGGAGAAGAGCCATGTGGCACTAAATCCTCTGACCCCACTTCTGCCTTTTCCTTAACTCCAAGAGCCTCTGTAGTGGGACCCCGGGGTGCTGGGCTCCCAAGAGGGACGTTCTCCACCTGGGAGCCCTTTGTCCTCCAGCTTGCTCCATGCACACTCAGCTGTCCCACTGTGTCCGGAGCCCTCCGCCTCCTTGGGCAGGAGAAGGGGGAGGGTCTGAGCCATCATTCAGGGCTTGCCGCCTACCGTGGCAGGCAACGGCACCGAGCAGCTTCAGTGCCTTTGTATTCCCAGCCATTTCCCTGCGATTCATGTTTGCGTGTGGTGGGGTCCCCGGCCAGGTCTCGGTGGAGCTGGACATGAGCAAGCCTGACCTCACAGCCGCCTTGAAGGAGATCCGCATGCAGTACGAGGTCCTCTCTGCCCGCAACCAGCAGTCGGCCGAGGAGTGGTACAAATCCAAGTTTGCCAACTTCACCGAGGAGGCGGCGCGCAGCAACGACAGCATCCGCCAGGCCAAGGAGGAGATCACAGAGTACCGGCGCCAGCTGCAGGCCCGCAACATCGAGATCGAGGCGCTGAGGAGTGCCAACGAGTCGCTGGAGAGGCAGCTGCAGGAAGCAGAAGAGAGGAGCAGCGGGGAGATCCAGAACCTGCAGGTAGGTGACACTTGCCCACAGACCCCGGGGTCCTTGTCATTTCTAGGCTCAGCCCTACACAGCAGTGGCGAAAAGCCAGATGGCATCTAGCAAAGATTCTCCGGGGCTTTCTCTCGATCACTTGTGCAGGCTGCGCTTTCGGGTAAGGTTGCAGTGGGAAGAAGACAGGCCTTGCAAAGCGGAGGGATGTTCTTAGCACACCTGGCACTGCCTGGTGGAAGAGACGAATGACTGTAGCCTTTCTGTAATATCGCTCGCCTGTTCTCTTCAAGCCCTTTGAAAACATTCATCCCCTACCTGCCCTTCAGCCCCTGCTGGTGGCGACTGTCAGTATTAGTCCCACTGCTCAGCTTGGGAAACTGAGGCACAAAGCATCTCTTCATCTTTGGATGCCTCTGGTTTTGGGTGTGATTTCCCGAGGTGCTGGGCACCTTGAATTCCAATTGCAGTCAATGGGACTTTTGAATATCGGGCCAAAAAGTCTCAAGTTGGACTTACACAAATGGTGACCTCCCAAATTGTTGGAGTCTTTGGAAACTGTAGATCAGCGATGGGCAACCTGGGCTAGGGAGTGGGGCCCATGAGCGGGCCGCAAGATTGTCATAACCGAGATGGTCTCTCGGGGTAGGGCAACTTTCTCACTGCTCTGGCGGAGCTAGAATGTGCAGGCTGTGCCGATTGAACCTAGCAGCGCTTGGGGTGAATGGAGAGGGAGCTCACGGCTCTCAGTCAATGCTGGGTGCAATCAGCAAAAAATGACATTGACAGAAACCAGCGGAATCTGTCAACCCCAGATCTAAGCGACTTGCCCGAGATCAGGCTGAGCCAGCATTAGAACCCGGGATCTGATTAGTCTATTTTGACGGATTAGGGACAGAACAATTAATAATCCCAGGAGCTCCTTTGGGGAGATGCAGAGCTCACTTGCTAGAACAGCAAACGTCTGAGGTGCTGGGGAAGGGACCCTCCCAAACGAAAGTTTGGTCATATCCGTAAATGCATCAGATTGCTACTGAGACGGGGGTGTGCGCTGTGTAAACCCCGTCCCTGCTCTGTGGAGACTGCAGTTGAAATAAACAAGGCAGAGGTGGGAGGGGAAAAAGGTGAAATGACTTGCCCTGGTCAAACGGGAAGTCAGTGGCGTGGCCAGGTATAGAAATGCAGTCCCGTCTGCGCCCCAGTCCAGCACCCTAATCTGGTGGACCACACCGATACCTCCTCACGAGGCCTGTTTGAACAGTGTGTCGGAGGGAGGGGCGCTAAACCCAAATGAGAGGGAACCGCTGACCTGATTCTCCCTTGCACTTTATGCTTTGCAGGAGACCATCAACCAGCTTGAAAATGCTCTTAGGACAACCAAGGGAGAGATGGCTCGTCACCTCCGAGAGTATCAAGACCTGCTGAATGTGAAGATGGCCCTGGATATTGAAATAGCTGCATACAGGTAAAACGATACCCAGAAGCCTTTTTCCCTTATCACTTGGTGCTGTTCGATGCTGGCCCTCACGCCTCTCTGTGCAGAGAACCAGATAACTGGAACACTGTACCCTGCATCAATGGGCCCTCTAATCTTTTTCCATGCATCTGCAGATTTTTTTCCGGCCACGTACAGAATAATTTTTTCTGTGTGCACCGAGGCACGTGCCAATGTGCACCACCAGTAGAAACAAAACCTAGCTGTGGGCACTCTGCTAATCAGCTGGGTGGCCTCGGAATCTCTCCTGAGGGGCTGCACAAGTGCACGGTCTGCAGGGAACGCTGCCCTAGATGTTCCATAAGCTTGTCTAGCGATCCATGTGTGTGATCCACGTGCGCAATCCCCCTGTCTGGAATGAGGAATGTAGATTTATTGCACCAGATCTCCAGGTTCCGCTCAGGGCTAGATTAGGTCAAAAGTCTTTTTTTCCCCACCGTGCCATGATCACCTAAGCCGGGGTGGGCCAAATCTGGCCGGCCTAAGGCTTTGATCTGGCCCGTGTGGCTGTTCCAGGCCCCACCCCTTAGGACGTTGCCTGGGAGCTCGGGACACGTGAGCCCTTCCAACTGCTTCTATTTAAAGAGCTCGCGCTTCCCCTGCGCCTGTCAGGCTGGCAACAGGTCCAGGGACAGCGCGAGCCCTTTGAAGAGAAGCCGTTGGAAGGGCTGGTGTGTCCCCGGCTCCCAGGCAACGTGCTAGCAGCGAGGCCGGAAGCTGCGAGCCCTTTAACTAGCAGGAACTGAAGGGCTCGCATGTGATATCCAGGAGCTGCAGGGGAAGCACAAGCCCTTTGAGCTGCTTCTATCTAAAGGCCCCGCCCCTTTCATCTGAGGCCCCGCCCCTTCTGGGACTGCCCATGACCTCTTCAAAAATGATTGCTCACCCCGATCAAGTCTGATCCTCTGTCTCGCACCAGGCAGAGAACAGCCTAGAAATGATTAGAATCCTAGAGCTGGAAGAGACCTCAGGCGGTCATTGAGTCCAGCCCCCTGCCGCAGGCAGGACCAATCCCAACTCAATCAACCCAGCCAGGGCTTTGTCAAGCCGGGACTTAAAAACCTCTGGGGATGGAGATTCCATCCCCTCCCTAGGGAACCCAGCCCAGTGCTTCCCCACCCTCTTAGGGAAATGGTTTTTCCTAATATCCAACCTAGACCTCCCACCACAACTTGAGACCATCGCTCCTTGTTCTGCCATCTGTCACTACTGAGAACAGCCTCTCTCCAGCCTCTTTGGAACCTCCCTTCAGGAAGTTGAAGGCTGCTCTCAAATCCCCCCTCACTCTTCTCTTCTGCAGACTAAACAAACGCAAATCCCTCAGGGTATGTCTACACTACCCCGCTAGTTCGAACTAGCGGGGTAATGTATGCATACCGCACTTGCTAATGAAGCCCGGGATTTGAATTTCCCGGGCTTCATGAGCATAAGCGGGGAGCCGCCA